GTACCATACGTTTAAAGAGTACTAGGAACTTTAATTGTTTGTTTTTGTAAATAAAAGTGTTATAATTATTGAAAAAGAATACCTAAAGTGCATTATGATGATTTAAATAACGTGCAGTTTGCCCAAAAACGTGCGATCCCTGGCATATGTCTTAGAGATTTCTATGCGGTACACAATGTGTTAATTTATCCATTCTTTTTAGCTTTTCTTCCAAAAATCTCCAGCTTCCAGAAAAAAGAGGAAAAGGAATATGTTCAATAGGACAACGAGGAAAACTGAGAGAAAAAAATCTGATGCAATCTGTATTTATATAAGATTCCATTTTAAAGATCTTGGCAGGACTTCAAATTACTCCTTTACATTCAAATTTCCCAACAATGGGAGCCCCCTGCTCCCATACAGGAGACAGAGAGCCTAGTTTATTTCCTTAAATACAATATTCACAGTCAATGCACCTATATCAATGATAATAATGAAAACTTTAAATTTACACTGTGTAATACAGTTTAAAGGGCATTTTCACAAATGACAAACTAGGAAAAAATAACTGCAACACATATGACAAAGAGCTAACTTCCTTTATTAACAAAGAGTGCATACAAACCATGAACAAAAAAGTCAAAGTGTAAGAACTGGCAGATTACTGGGGGGAAGAGAGGGGAATAATATAAAGGTCTAATAAGCATGTGATGGTATAGCTACATAACCTCACCTTAAATTAAGAAAATGCAAATCAGTCCTAGCTAGTTTGGCTCAGTGGATAGAGCGTTGGCCTGCAGACCGACAGGTCCAGGGTTTGATTCCAGTCTAGGCAGTCCAGTTACAGGCTCCTCCCTGGCGCCCAGGCCCTGGTCAGGGCTCATGCAGGAGGCAACCAATCAATGTGTTTCTCTCACATCGGTAATTGTCTCTTTCTCGTCCACTCTCTCTAAAAATCAATGGAAAAATATCCTCAGGTGAGGATTAAAAATAATAATAAAGTATCTCAATTTAAAAAAGAAAATGCAAATCAAAATAACAATTTTTCACTTCTCAGATAGGCAAAACTCAGATAGGGAGGATACCCAGTATTTACAGGGATGAGGGGAAAAGAGGTTGCATATATACTGTTGGTAGAAGCATAAATTGGAAAAGCTTTTCTAAAGGCAACTTAGAACTATCTACAAAAATGCACATACCTGCAAACCAGCAGTCCCACTGCCAATAACTTTTCCTAAAGATACACCCCTCCCAGACTCTGCCAAATTACCTATAAGGATGATCAAAATAGCTTTGCAATTTCTGCAGCTAAAATGTCCATCCATCAAGAGGCCTAGTTAAATGAATTATGGTTCATCAATACAATATAATGTTGCACAGCTATCAAAAAGAATAATGGTGGGAGGGGGTGGAGAATGGCAGTCTTGGCCAGTGTTGCTCAGTTGGTTGGAGCGCTGCTATCCCTTACACCAAAAGGTCACGGATTCAATTCCTTGGTCAGGCCATATAGCCAGGTAAATGAAAAGTAATTATTTCTTTTTTTTTTTTTTTAAATATATTTTATTGATCCCCTACAGAGAGGAAGGGAGAGAGACAGAGGGTCAGAAACATCGATGAGAGAGAGAAACATCGATCAGCTGCCTCCCGCACATCTCCCACCGGGGATGTGCCCGCAACCAAGGCACATGCCCCTGACCGGAATCGAACCCGGGACCCCCCAGTCCGCAGGCTGACGCTCCATCCACTGAGCCAAACCGGTTTCGGCAAGTAATTATTTCTTTAAAAAAGAATGGCAGCCTGGCTGGTGTGGCTCAAGAGGTCACTGGTTGATTCCCCGTCAGGGCTCATGCCTGGGGTTGCAGGCTCAATCCCCAGTAGGGGGTGTGCAGGAGGCAGCGATCAATGTTTTCTCTCATCGATGTTTCTCTCTCTCTACCCCTCTCCCTTCCACTCTCTAAAATCAATAAAGACATATTTCTTTAAAAAAGAATAATGACAATCTGTACATGCTGATATAAAAAGCCATCTGCAAGATATATTGTCAAGTAAAAAAGGCATAGTGTTGCCCTGACCAGTTTGGCTCAGTGGCTAGAGCGTCGGCCTGTGGACTGAAGAGTCCCAGGTTCGATTTCGGTCAAGGGCATGTACCTTGATTGCGGGCACATCCCCAGTAGGGGATATGCAGGAGGCAGCTGATGGATGTTTCTCTCTCATGGGAGTTTCTAACTCTCTATCCTTCTCCCTTCCTCTCTGTAAAAAATCAATAAAATATATTTTAAAAAATAAAGGCATAGTGTATAGGCATGTGTATGGTATTATCCCTTTAATGTAAGTAAACAGGCATAAATATAAACATCTATTATAGCAGATAATAAAATTATCTGGAAGAAACTAAGAAACTGTCTCAGTAGTTCCTTTAAATGAAAAATACAGAGAATGAAAATTTGTCTTTTCATTTTTACCTTTCTGTATTGTTATAATTGTCTAACTTTAAGAACATACTTCCAGCACAGCATAGGAAATAGTCAATAATATTGTAATAACTGTGTATGGTGCCAGTAGGGTACTGGAAACAACAGGGGGAGCACTTTGTAAAGTATATGATTGTCTAACCACTATGCTGTACACCTGAAACAAATATAATACTGATTTTTTTTAAATGTACCTCCAGGGATTATCTAGTTTGTAAGATTTTAGTTTTGGATTACTTCTCCATATTCCTTTATATTTTTAAAAAGCATTACTTAAACATGCAAAAAACCTTTCATTCTTATACTATCTTACTGGATCTTTACAACAGCCAAATGATGTATTAAGAGCTAAACGTGGCCCTGGCCGGTTTGGCTAAGTGGATGGAGCATCGGCCTGCGGACTCAAGGGTCCCAGGTTTGATTCTGGCCAAAGGCATGTATCTTGGTTGCGGGCACATAACCAGTGGGGAGTGTGCAGGAGGCAGCTGATCGATGTTTCTCTCTCATCAATGTTTCTAGCTCTCTATCCCTCTCCCTTCCTCTCTGTAAAAAATCAATAAAATGTTTAAAAAAAAACAACTAAATGTGATTGATGTTCCTGTGGTACAGAAAAGAAACTGAGGTACAGAGGGGTGAGCAGTTTTTGAGGTCCCCAAAGGCAGACAAACCACTTCCCAAAAGCCCTTCCTCTTTCCCCTACCAAAGTCACTGCTATGCTTATGTCTATAGACATAAACATAATTTGAATACAAGATTAAGCAATTGTATGCTTTTCAAATGTTGTGTTAGCATTATCACACTATTATATAACAAGCAGAAATATTCAATTTTTTAGAAAGGACAAAACATAAGAGGGCCCAGCTGTGGACAAACTAGAACATTTGAACCACTGCCTGAGGCCCTGACTATAGCCATCTTTTAATACCTCAAACTGGAAGTTAGGAACAAGGTGTAAAACAGCTTAAACACTTGGACTCAGTAGTTTTTTTTGTTTTGTTTTGTTTTAAATATATTTTATTGATTTTTTTACAGAGAGGAAGGGAGAGGGATAGAGAGTGAGAAACATCGATGAGAAAGAAACATCAATCAGCTGCCTCTTGCACACTCCCTACTGGGGATGTGCCCGCAACCAAGGTACATGCCCTTGACTGGAATCGAACCTGGGACCCTTGAGTCCGCAGGTCGACGCTCTATCCACTGAGCCAAACCGGTTAGGGCTGGACTCAGTAGTTTTAATCAGCAGAATACAGCCCAGGATAAAAATAAATCATTTGTGAAAACGAGGAAAAAGCAATGGCTCTTTACATAGGATTCTGAGAAAACTAGATATAGTTCACAGGTTTAACAAGAAAATTTTAATCAAAACCTATTAGGGTAAAGAATGACTGATGCTCAACAGATGCCTAATAAATGAAATAAAGAATGCTACTAAGCTACTAAAATGGTAGGATGTGAACTAATCTTACAAAAAGAGAATAGAACTTTGAATAACTTAATTGGTATGTTAACTTTTCATAATCTAGTTCTTATTTTACTACTTTGTCAAATAGATATGATGTATGTTTTTGGAAATGATTCATGAGTGAAGATAATATGCAATAGCATATAAAGAAATATAAATAAAAATATAAATGTAAAAAAAAAAAAGGATATAAAATACCCTTATGCAGACAAACAAGACCTACATAAAAACATGTGTGTGTGTGTGTGTGTGTGTGTGTGTGTGTGTGTGTGTATATATATATATATATATATATATATATATATGATCCTAATATGCAAAGTGTCCCCTCGGGAGTTTGACCAGGAATTCAATAGCTCACTATAATTTGTACTGACCACCAGGGGGCAGCGCGGAACAAAAGAAGGCCCCAGCCGGCAGCCAGCTAGGGACCCTAACCATGCACGAATTTCATGCACTGAGCCTCTAGTAATGCTAATAATAGACAACTCTTCATATATTAAGTCAAGTAATCCTTATAACCACAGAAGTAAGGACTATTATTAAACCTCACTGTAAAGGTGAGTAAACAAAGGAGCAGAAAAAAATTAGGGATGCCCATATAATATAGAGAGTGACTGAGTCAGGAGTTGAATTTAGGCCTTGCAGCTCCAGATTCTTAACCACTACCACATGTTTATGAGGTACACCTTTGAGTTATCCGTCCTAACTTATCAAATGAGGATTAATGGCCTCTATTATAAGGAGTAGTTGAGAAAAGATCTGCAAAGCCCCTATTTGGCATCAGAATTCATTAACAGTTAATGATGTACTGATAAGGACTCTAGGTTTTATTTTGGGAGAAGTGAGAGTACCGTAGCCATGATAACTGCAAGTCCGGCCCTCAGTAACCCCAACATGCTCTGAGAGAAGGGACTGAAGGCTCAAAGTAATAAAGAATTAAAGTGATAGATGAGTATGGAACAAGACATTTCAACTAGTCAGCTACAAGACAGGGTTAGAGGAAATAAAGTCTGAGACACTCGAGGAAAGACTATTAATCACCAGAAACTAAAGATCAGGCTTTGAGATAACCTAATATTGCTTACCACTAGGCTTGCATTCAATTTCCATTAAAGGGTGATGGTGCCCTGTCCGTTGTCACTCAGTAGTTAGAGTGTCGACCAGAGCATGGAAGGGTTTCAGGTTCGATTCCCAGTCAAGGCATATACCTGAGTTGCAGAGTTGCAGATTCTATCCTGGACCCTGGTTGGGGTGCATGAGAAAGGCAACCAATTGATGTTTTTCTCTCTATATATCTCTCTTTCTCTTTCCCTCTCTCTGTCTCTCCTCTCTCTTCCCAACCCCCCTCCTACTCTCTAAATATCAATAGAAAAATATCCTCAGGTGAGGATTAACAAAAATTTTAAAAGTTGATGGTGTCTTTTATTTACTCATTTTTTTTGAGAGAAAAGAAGAAAGGGAGAGAGAGGAAGAGAGAGAAATGGATTTGTTGTTCCACTTATTTATACATTCATTGGTTGACTCTTGTATGTGTCCTAACCGGGGATCAAACCCAAAACCTTGGCATGTTGGGACAATGCTCTACCCAGCCAGAGCCAAGGATAATGGTGTCTTTTTTTTTTTTAGATTTTTATTAAATTTTTTAAAATATTTTTATTGATTTCAGAGAGGAAGGGAGAAGGAGAGAGAGACAGAAACATCAATGATGAGAGAGAATCATTGATCGGCTGCCTCCTGCACAACCCCTACTGGGGATCAAGCCCACAACCTGGGCATGTGCCCTTGGCCAGAATGGAACCTGGGACCCTTCAATCCTCAGGCCAATGCTCTATACACTGAGCCAAACCAGCTAGGGCAGATTTTTATTAATTTTTAGAGAAAAAGTAAGGGAGAGGGAGAGAAAGACGGAGACAGACAGAGAGAAACATCAATCGGCTGCCTCCTGCACACTCCCTAGTGAGGATTGAAACTGAAACCCAGGAATGTGCCCTGATGCGGAATTGAACCAGAAACCTTTCAGTGCACAGGATGATGCCCAACCAACTGAGCCACACCGGCCAGAGCATGAGGGTGTCTTTTAACTTAAAGCCATTCCCTTTCAACTGAAGGACATTTCAAGTGAAGACATACTTAAATCTTTAGGTCTCCTTTATTCAATAGTTATTGAGTGTCTGCTATGTGCGTAGAGACAGGAAGGATGAAACACCCACAACCCTGTTTTCTAGTGGGGAAGGCAAGCAAAAACAAGATAAACACATACACAAAGAAGATAATTACTGGCAAGGTAAGTACTGTGTGGAAAAACAAAATGATGTGAACCAGTGATGAGGGAGGACCATTTTGATAGGCTGTTAGCAAGGACTCTAAGAAGCTGAGGTCTGTCCTAACCGGTTTGGCTCAGTGGATAGAGCAGTGGTTCTCAACCTTCCTAATGCTGCAGCCCTTTAATACAGTGCCTCATGTTGTGGTGGCCCCCAATTTCATTGTTACAAATTGAACATAATTAAAGCATAGTGATTAATCACAAAAACAATATGTAATTATATATGTTTTCCGATGGCCTTAGGTGACCCCTGTGAAAGGGTCGTTCGACCCCCAAAGGGGTCGCGACCCACAGATTGAGAACCACTGGGATTGAGCATCGGCCTGCGGACTGAAGGGTCCCGGGTTCGATTCCGGTCAAGGGCATGTACCTTGGTTGCGGGCACATCCCCAGTAGGGGGTGTGCAGGAGGCAGCTGATCGATGTTTCTCTCTCGATGTTTCTAACTCTCTATCCCTCTCCCTTCCTTTCTGTAAAAAAATCAATAAAAAAATAAAATAAAAAGAAGCTGAGGTCTGTGCAGAGATCTAAATGACAAGGAGACACCCATGTGAAGATCTAGAGCAGGGGTGGGGGAATCATTTGGTCTGGCCCTGTCAAGGTAACCATAAGTGGGACTCGAAATTCAATAAATCTAGGAGTTTTTTTCATAGAAACATAAATTCATATGAAGTGAATTATATTAAGCGAATGATGTTATAAACAATGACGTTATATCCAAACTAGAAGCCCCGTGCACAAAAATTTGTGCACTGGCAGGGGAGGGAGATCCCTCAGCCCAACCTGTGCCCTCTCACAATCTGGGACCCCTCGGGAGATAACCACCTGCTGGCTTAGGCCCACTCCCCGGGTGGCAGATGGCACGCCCAATCCCGCAGTGTTTGCCCTGTCTCCCCCGGTCGCAGATGGCAGGCCCGGATCCCACGCTGGGGCGGGCAGAGGCTGGGGATCACACTGCTGCCTGCCCCGCCCACCCCTCCCTGCACAGGGCAGGCCAGGATCTCGTGCTTAGGTGGCGCAGCGGGATCTACCTACAGTATGCAAATTAGCCACTATCTTTGTTGGCAGTTAATTTGCATATCACACTGATTAGCCAATGGGAGGCGTAGCGAAGGTATGGTCAATTACCATGTTTGTCTATTATATTAGATGGGCCTTGGCAGAAAAAAAGATTCCCCACCCCTGATCTAGAGGAAGAGGCAAAGTCCTAGAAGCAAGGCCCCTCAGGTGGAAATCAGCTCCTCTATCCCACCCTCACAGCCCTGAGCCTACCAGGTGGAGACTACCCTGAAGCCCTTGCTGCTGTTCCAGAAAAGCATAAACAATATACCAGCAGGTCCAGTGATAGATCTATAGGAGGAAGCTTCCAAGGGGACTCTGCCAAAGTTCTGGCTTGGAGGAAGGCCAGGGAGTGCTTAGGGATGGCAGCACAGACAGGTTTTAGACTCAGATTCTGGCCAATCCTATCTCCACTCCTTGGTGGCTGAGTAAAAATGAGAAAAATCACTTAGCCTCCCCTCTGTTTGCCCATATAGAAAATGGGATTGATAACCTCTACCTCCTGGGGTTATTGTGATTAAATAAGTGAGCTAATGGATATCAAGTGCTTAGCACAATAAACACTAAATAGTATCAGTGATAAAATGGTATATGATAGAAATAGTACTAGCAAAAAGGACATTAGACACAAAAGATTACCGTCAATATTATTATGAAATGCTAACAAATGGTATCCAATATACAGAACTAAAAAACAAAAACTGCACAATTTAATCCTAGGGAAGTGACAATTTGATTCATTAGGTGCAAGAGCCTCTGAACCACCATCCTCAAGTTTCAAGGATATAGAAGGAACACTGGGTCTAAAGCAAAGATCATTTCCATTCCTTCAGGACCTTTCCCAGGTCACACTAAAAGAGTTGAATTCATTTCTTTTACTTGAGGGGCGAAGGAAGAAAGCAGAGGAGAGGGGAGAGTCAGGGAAGAAGGAAGAGAGAAAAGAAATAGGCCAAAAAATTCCCACACTTCCCAGATACTTGAAATGCTTTCTCCGAGAACCTAGCTTTTCCTTCCACAATTAAAATTCAGACAGACAGCAAACACAGGTTGAGTTTATCTATTTCGAAACACTAAGAATGAACCCAACCAGCATGGTTCAGTGATTGAGCATCAACTTATGAACCAGGAGGTCACAGTTAAATTCCCAGTCAGGGCATATGCCCCATTTGCAGGCTTGATCTCCAGTGGGAAGCGTGCAGAAGGCAGCCAATCAATGATTCTCCCATCATCATTGATGTTTCTTTCTCTCTCTCCCCCTCCTCTTCCTCTCTGAAATCAATAAATATATATATTTTTAAAATACTGAGAATGAATTGGTTAAATCAATGATCCTCCCAGAATCAATGCAAAGGGCCTAGTGCTCAGGGTTGGCTCCAGAATATATTTGCTGAATGACCTTTGGCACATTACTCAACCTCACTGAGCTAATCATCCTACCCTCACAAGTTCCTTCTCCCTGTCTCCCCATCACAGTTTAAGGCTCCAAGACTGGCCAATATACCAATCTAAAAACATGGGCATCTCCTATGCTTCCCTTTCTGTCACCATTTTGTAATACCTACTTCTAAGTCTCTCCCATTTCTGGGTGGTTGCCCAGTTCACACACACACACACCTGGTACTAACCCAGACACTGCAACAGCTCATGATGGAGCTCAAAGCCTTCAGACGCACCCTCCCAGATTCAAACCAATACTGTCTTACAAGCTGGCATCCTCTGACTGCCTATTTATGACAGACACTATTCTAAATACATATACAGGGTGGCCAGATTATGATGACCACCTGACGTTTGTAGGCAAATTAGCTATAATTTCGCGCTGAAGTTGCTAGAGGGCCAGACCATTATAAATAGGGAAGCAGGTTGTTTACCAAGACAGAAGTGATTTTTTTCTGAAGATATGGGTAAACAACGCGATTTAACAGCCTTTGAACATGGGATGTGTATATATCTATGCATGTATATGTATATGTATATGTGTATGTATATGTACATGTATATGTATATATATACACACACAGAGTGGCCAGATTATTATGACCACCTGACGTTTGCAGGCAAATTAGCTGTACACTGCATCATATGGGATATGGAAGCCGAAGGCCTGTTCAAACACCTTTGCTGTCTGCAGTTACCAAGATAAAACGTCTCCAATTCGCACAGGAACACAAGGATTCGACAGTCGAGCATTGGAAAAAAGTCATGTGGTCCGATGAATCACGTTTCCAGTTGCATCATGCAGATGGCAGAGTGAGAATTTGGCGAAAGCAGCATGAAAGCATGCACCCCACATGCATGAGTACAACCCTTCAAGCTGGTGGGGGCAGTGTTATGGTTTGGGACATGTATTCCTGGCATAATTTGGGCCCTTTAATTAATGTGGAACAATGTCTGAATAGCACAACATACCGAAGTATCGTTGTTGATCAGGTTCATCCTATCGTGTTGATGGCGTATCCCAATGGAGATGGCTTCTTCCAACAAGACAATGCGCCATGCCATGGTGCTCATATTGTGCAGAAGTGGTTTCAAGAACATGAGGGAGACTTTACCTTGCTTAGGTGGCCCCCACAATCACCAGATCTCAATCCAATTGAGCATTTGTGGGAGGAAGTTAAAAGAGCCATCAGGCAGCTGGTTCCACAACCATCAAATCTCACAGAACTGGAGAGTGCTATTCATCAGGCATGGTGTCAGATTCCTCGCATCACTTTTCAACATCTCGTGGAGCCAAGAATCTCCGCAGTATTGAAGGCAAAAGGTGGCCCAACGAAGTACTGATGGGGTAGTCATAATAATCTGGCCACTCAGTGTGTGTATGTATGTGTGTGTGTGTGTATGTGTGTATATATATATG